CCGCTGATGATTCCACCGCCACGCTGGCTAAATATCTAGAGCGATGTTTCCATCATCAACCTAGTATGACTAGAGCGGTCATTGAGAATTCTGTCTCTAATGACTATTCGCGAAGGACTATGTCATGAGTCGAACTCAGACCCTATCTAGGATCGAGTCGCGAATAAGGCTAAGAGCCGTGTATTGCACTCGTGGAAGCATCACAACTCTTCAATATTTTGTCCGAAGGCATCGACAGTGAAACTGATAGATCCGAACTACAGTCATACTCAGAGTTCACGATGGAGATGGCACAAATCCGACAATCTCAGGTGCAAGAAAATTGCACCATGCATACTGGGCTGTGGGTGATAATCCATGGACTTACCAGCCCTTCAGGTGTCACAATGAACAACAAAATTGGTCATGTCTGCATGGATGGGTTGGAAGAGGGCCGAGTTGCTGTGATGGTGGATGGAATCAGTGCACCAAAGAGAATTCGGCCCACAAATCTATGGAAAGTCCCATTTTCAGATGCAGGCATGGCTCTCATTTCTTGTCTAGAGGAAGTTGACCAGTGGGAATATGTCAGAGCCTCAAAAGAAGCAAGTTTAGCTCAGTCCATGGCTGGAAAGAGATGACCAGTGGTCGGACGACATATGTAACTTCCTGACTGCTGGTTTCGAGGCTCTAAGAAGCGGAATACTGTATGTTTTGCTCTAAAATGAGAATCGAATCCCTGGTAGACGTTTATGGGGTGCCTAGTTGCTTGTGCGTGATTCTGATCCTCAGCCATTGTAATGACTCTGCTGAGGATTGGTCCATGGCCGTGACCGGAGTGCCACTGCTAGTGTGCATAGAAGCTCGCCGTGCCAGTCCCATTCCATTCATGACAACTTTCAGTTGCCTGTGCATTACTGGTACTGATACACTATTGGGTGCTTCAGGATTGCAACGCTCGTTGTCCAACCAGCTACTCAGCACCGGTAAGAGTCACAAAACACGGTATCGGTACAGCCACACCGAGGCTGCCCCGAAACTGGAGAAGCAGCAAAAAAGAGGGTGCGGGAGTTGAATTTTCCATGGTGACGGGAATTACCAGGGTGGCACTCTGGCACAGCTTCAATGCAAAATGATGTTGGTCCCACAATCTGAAAGTCAACACCGCAACCCATGGAAGAAGATACAAATATAAAGGAAATGACAGAGCCAACAATGGAGAGTGGAGATGATAGCCCCATCAAAGCCGCTCCCTTCGAACGTCAGCGACCAAAGGGTAAATACACGAGGAAGAAGCAACTCTGTAAAGCTATGAATACCGCCGCCAAAAAGAACATGGTTTATATGAATCTGCATCATACATCAAATTGCGACGCTCCTTCTTAGAGTCATCATCTTCTACTACAGTATCACATCTAGTTATAACTGTGTGCGAACTTAATACACTAAAGTAGCTTGCAAATAGTCCACATGTTGACGTTCACGCATCTTATTCAAGTTTGCGTATCCAGGTTCGTTTTCTTCCTGTTCTAACAGATCTATTTCTGCTGCACTTACTTGTTGCTGTTCTTGCTGCGCCATCGCTCCTCTACCAGTGGCTTTGAATTCAATCTAATTGCCATGGCGGCATCATCTGACCCCTGAAATGGAACTACCGTATCACGCGCGACCACGATTCCTACCGCGTGACTCACCCAGTCCCAACTTTTAAAATTTGGAAGAGCGAGAAAGATATGCCATACCGGTACCGGTACATAGTTTAATATAACGGGGGTTTAGAGTAGGGAATAGCCGTCAACTGGTTAGGCCCTTGTGATTTTGTTTGATGTTCTGTCCGTTTGTCCGTTTGTCCGTTTGTCCGTTTGTCCGTTTGTCCGTTTGTGTCACGTTTTTAGCCATAACCCTAATAGAAGTAGACTAACCAAAAGAAAAACAGATGGTGGCTACTAGGTCTACAGCTGCAGCCAGCTAGCCTGGCTTGCCTACGATGTAGCTACTGCCAATCAAAATCAAACTCGTTGAGGGCTCATGCCGTCGGCAGCCTGAATTATCTACGGAAAGCCAGCCGGGCCAGGCTTAAGCAAAGAACAGTCGAAATTCAGGACTGGGTTCTGTGGGATCAGGGGCAAGAAATTGAGGACCAGTACGGGGGGCAACGGGTTTGGCTTTGCGGGAGTCCAACGGAAAGACATAAATGGTAGCTTTTACATAGTCTAATTGTTTCTGAGGTTTGACACCTTGCTTCTCAATTTCATTTTTTCTCGTTTTAATTAAAATACGCTTGCGCTGGGACTTGCCCTCACCCCCGTCATCATCAGCGACGCTGTCATCCTTCTTGATTTCTTTTTGTTGTTGCCGCCTTTGGCCCGCATTTGCCGCCTCTTGCCGCCTTTGCCGCCTTTGCCACAACGAGGTCTCTTCTTGGCGGTGGCAGCTTGGTGGTAACCTTGGCGACGGTCTTACGCCGAGGAGATCTCCTCAATGGTTTACTGACTCTATCAAAAGCTCCTTTCCAAGGGCTGGCAGTTCCATACTCTCGTCGTCCTTATTTCATCATCATCATTGCCATCAAGCAGAAGGCTCTTCTCCTCTTTCTTCATCGATACCTCCTCTTCCTCTTCTTCCTCCCAGAGGGAACCTCCGCCTCTTACTAGCCTTCTTCTTGGTGTTGGCATGGTCTATCAGTGCAGTAATAACAATAAAGAACAAGAGGCTGCTAGCGAAATGATGATGAGTTTCGCTAGCTAGCGTAAATGAACCAACGAAATCCAAAACGTTGTTTAGTCGAAACGTTTAGTCGATCGTGGTAGATAACGTTTTGCTTAAAGTTTGTACTAAAATATCGACTAAACTGGATAGTTCAAGATTTAGTCCGTGGCGGGTAGACACCTCCGTGACTAAAGGTACGGACTAAATCTGCGACTAAACAAGGTGCTAAAGACTCCTTTAGTCCCTACTTTAGTGGCTCCAGTAGAGACCGGCCTCATGACATTGTGGCCAAGCAAAGATCCGAGTTGACACCTCGCCTCTCACTTTTCAACAAACAAAACAAGCAAGCACCAGCCTTAAGAACTATTAGTCTATTAATAGCTAGTCTAGTAAGGATGATGAAACTTGGACTCCTCCTTTTGGCGCTTGTGCCTTCTATGGTCGATGGATCTTCATATGCATGGGGTGTGAAGTCCTTCGCTCACACCGGTAAGAATACGAAAGCTTCTTTGGCTGTGGCTGTGACCAGCATTCCTCGTGGTGGCGGCTGCATTGACATTGACCTTATAACTGTTGAACCAGATTTGGCCGCCAAGATCTTTATTGGTGCGTATGGTGCCAACGCAGCTTTGTGTTTTGTGGCATCGGAGTTTGCTCTCAAGACTGTGTACGGAGGCAAGGACGCACAACCGGATTCTCTTTGGGGAGGCACTACATTGGGCGCTGTGGGATGTAACACGGCTCTTCTTCTTTACTTGCAACACTTCAAGGGCATGGGCTTTGAAAAGGCCATTGGCTGGTCGGTTTTGCCCTACCTGACCATGGAGTTTTATCGTATTTTCATCAATCCCGATTCAGACAAGGTCGTGGGGATGAAGAAAGAGACGCACTACGCAGCTGCTGTTTTGAATATCGCTGTCTTGGTGGCATCCCTCATGGAAGCCAGTTGGGCTCCTAA